ACCCGCCTCTGACGTCCTGCCCATCAATTCGACTGATTACACATATGATTCAGAGCTTGGTATCGCTGAAGGCGTTTCCCCTATCGTTTCCGATGCAGCGTCTCGTTCCCTCGGGGAACCATGGTTACATATGTAACCTGGGATGTTTACATTGCACTTATATTTCAAATACCTGCATGTAATTACATCTGCAATTAATTTCTGTAATTACATTTATAATTACACTGTTCACCCATCCCTTACAACTTAACCCAGCCTTAAACCTACCCATTCCATCAAACCTGTCCCTAACCGTACCCATATCCCACCTCAATAGCAGCAAAAGTGTTTCGCAATACAGTATGAAAACAATAAGTACATTGTACTTATTTGTTTTGATGTAAGGACAGACAGTTCGGACATTGTGGTGAAAATTAGAGGTAAACAACTATATAAATACTATAGTTCAGTTTCTTGCACAGACCGATCGTTTTGTGTCTTTACACATCAATGTATCGTCACGAGCCGCATGGTTAATTTGGTTTTGTTTGTGTGTTTTTTTCCAAAACTCCCAAAGCCGTGAAACTCATGAAACTGAAATCGGACATGCTTCTGAGGCAGCTTAACGTTCAATGATCTACAACAAAATAGAACGAGCTTCGGTGATAAGTGAATATTTAATTACTTAATAATACTGATTTCTTGCTAGAAATAACTTAAGATGCCATCTTTATTTTGCTCAACCATCACGGGATAGGACACACAGGATTGTGGGTATCAAGGCAGAGAAGGATGCATCTATTCTGCCTTTAAATATGGACCAGATGAAGGTATCTCAGGAGGCAGGAAGTGAAGGTAACACTGGATTTGACGTGTCTTGATACCTTCCTACCTTGAAATGTGTCCTCCAAAGGCAGCATTTTCCAGTTTCAGATGCAACCGTCAGTTCAGCGTTGTTTCTGCTCCGGTAACAGACACGCTTGTTCTGTCTAGTCGTATTGGAAACATGCTTGTTCTTAAGCTCTCAGTTGTTATTGGGAATATGCTTGTTCTTAAGTTATAGTTGTATTGTCGGGAACACGCTTGTCCCAGAGCTATCTGGTTGTTATTGGAACATGCTTGTTCTAAAAGCTGTAGTCATATTGGGAACATGCTTGTTCTTAAGCTGTAGTTGTATTGGGTATATGCTTGTTCTTAAGCTTCCTGGTCATTATTGGGAACATGCTTGTTCTTAAGTTATAGTTGTATTGTCGGGAACACGCTTGTCCCAGAGCTATCTGGTTGTTATTGGAACATGCTTGTTCTAAAAGCTGTAGTCATATTGGGAACATGCTTGTTCTTAAAGCTGTAGTTGAATCGGAAACATGTTTTCTTAAGTCTATCTTTTCTTAAGGTGTTATTGAGAACATATTGCTTAAGCTTTTAAGATATTGACAACATACTCATGAGGTCATCCGTTAAAGGCAACATAATTGTTGCTACAGGTTAATTTAATTTAATTAATGCATTTAGCAGACGCTTTTCTCCAAAGCGACTTACAGTGCACACAGAGCCACAGGAACACTCTGGGTTTTGGAACACAGGAACACAGGTTATGTGGGTTTTGGCAACATACTTGTTTTGGTCATTTGGTTGAGGGCAACATGCTTGTTGCTTAAGGCTTTGAGATTTTGCTATCAGTTTGTGTTGGGGGATATCAGCATATGGTTTTGTTTTGGGGGGTTATCGCTGCTCTCCCTGCTCTCATCCATGCTAGGCTGCATGGATGCGCAGGGAGTTCTTGTCCAGAACAGAACTATACCGCTAATCCAAACTGTATGCTAATTGTCAATCATCTTTGACGATAGTGGTCCTGGCAGAAATCAAGCATAGCGTTAGTTCTGGCAGGTCACGTTAGTCAAGCTCTCAGCTGATCCCCATCTACCTATAGGAATACGACACCTATCTAAGCATTCATATATAAGGTCCCTCAGTATTATCAGCAGTTTTCGCATTGCTCAATAGCTAATTACCCTCCTCCATCCCCAGCTCCTTCTCTGTCAGTCAGGATTCAGCCTTCTGATTATCCTTTGAATCAGACAAATTCTAAAACATGTACATACAATTATTGAACTTTAGCGATATCTGCAATACATTTATGTTGGTTCTGTTCTGTTTACCCTGTGGGGGTTATCACTGCTCTCCCTGCTCTCATCCATGCTAGGCTGCATGGATGCATTGGGAGTTCTTGCCCAGAACAGAACCATACCGCCAATCCAAACTGTATGCTAACTGTCAATCATCTTTGACGATAGTGGTCCTGACAGAAATATATTTGTACAGTAGTCAACATTTGAGTAGTCAACAGACAAGATCGCAATTTGGTTTGAGGTTTTAGGACAACTTTGATGAAAGGTTTTGATCCACTTCAAATGTTGACTAAATTGTACAACATATTGTTTATTGTGTAATACTGTTTAGTGCTTTGGTAGACACAGACAGTGGTCAATATGGGGTGCTGTGTGTACATTAATGAGGGAAAAAAATTAACTTAAATGATTTTAGCAAATGGCTGCAATATAACAAAGAGTGAAAAATTTAAGGGGGTCTGAATACTTTCCGTACCCACTGTATGTGGCCCCTGAGTTCTATATTTTTTTATTTGTTGTGTTGTCTTGCAGGTGGGTTCATACTAACAGCACACTTCAGCTTGAACTGAGTCACCAGTGCTGTAAGGAGAGAAATTATGAGATGAGAGAAATCACGCTGACTTGCAGTAAAGACTCTCTGACCCACTTCACATACAGACATGTCACAGGCTGTGAATGCAGGATTGAAGGTTAAGTTTACCTGACATACAAATGTATGAAAATGTTAGTTAATGTTACATGCAATTAATTTTGGTGTGTGTGAGTTGTATATGCACAATTAATAATTAGCTGCCGATGTGTGTGATGATTTAGTTTCAAGCCAAACAAACACATTTCTGCCATTTGTGCTTTTCAGCATGTTTTAAGTGAATCAGCTCAATTAACTGTCTATTCGTCTGTGCCAAAATCAATGCTTTATCTTGTTTACATAATAATCAGTATTTTATTTTGTTGTCAAAAACTTACTGCAATTATGTTCAATATATTTCAATTATTACTTTAATGTTCTATGTCACATATGAATAATGCCATGCTTGTGTGTGTCTGTACTTTTAATGTGATTTCACAAACAAATCAAACTTGTGATTGTAACCTGATATCAGGTGTCAAAGCCTCAAAGGCTTTTGTAATCCACTTTATGGAGTCATAATTCATAATAACCGTTAATTCAGTAAAAAAAATATTTGACACTTGTGGTATTTTAATGTGTATTTGCTTTTACATTACCATGTTATTTAAATAATAATAATAATAACAACAATAAACCTTGAAAATATACAGTCATTGTTTTGTTTTGTTTTGTTTTGTTTTATTTTTATTTTCAGAATCCAGTTTTTCCCCTTCTTCCAAGATAATATATATAGCTCCGGAAAAAATTGAGAGCAAAATTATCAGTTTCTCAAGTTTTATATTTTTGTTTTATTCTATAAACTACTGATAACATTTATCCCAAATTCCAAATAAACATATTGTCATTTATAGCATTTATTTGCAGAAAATGTCAACTAGTCTAAATAGATAGATAGATCACCCTAGCTGCCATTAACCATTCTTTTTGTAGGTCACCTGATGTCATCCTGTGGTTGTTGAGTGACATTCGAAATAGTTGGCGGTCATCCCGGTCAGTGAAGAGTCATTTTTCGCCCTCTGCCGGTCTTGTCCCCAACGTCTGCAGCTTGACCTTGTTCTTATGAACCGTTGTCTCTGAAATTTTATGGATGGAAGCAACCTGGTGCTCACTGTATCCCTCTGCCAATGAAAAAGAATCAAAACTTTTCTATTCAACTCTTTTGCATGGTCAATAGCTATTATTTGCTTCCAGTTGCATTTGAGGTACTACTAGCACTGTTTTTGTCACCCAAGCTGGTCCTATTGCTAGAAGATTGTGATGACCACAACAGTAGTTTTTATACTTTACCTTGTTAATTAAGATTTAGTTGAGGTGATTACGTAATCAGTACTTCATGAAGCAGAAATAGGTGTGCCTGTTTTGGAATTTAGCAGACACTGAATTGGAATGGCTGCTATACATGTAAAGCTTTATCATAATAATCAATATGAGCTTAGCTTTTTTTAAAAAAATGTTTAATGTTTTTGTTCTAATAATGATGATTTCTTTTAATAAATATTGATATTTTGATAGTTTTGGATATAGTGACGGCTATAGTTGAATTGGAGTGAGGGGTGATTTTATAGGCAAAGAGTAAAATTTCTCACTCCCCCCCCACACACACACAGTTTCCAGTGACTGCATTCACATTTCTCTGCAGCGTCCCATCTTTGTTTGTCGAAAGCATATGAGACAGCATTGATCTGCTCTGTCCTCTGTACCTCTGAGAATCCCCAGCCCCCTCGCTGTAGAGAAGTGACCTGTTGACATAATCACAAGATGGACATGACTGTTTGGTTACTGATTAGATGTCATGACTCTGAATGATAAAGCCTTACCTGTGAGCAAAGTGCCAGAGTCCTCCATCCATTCTGAGGGACACCGGCAACAGCACAGGTATGTTTGATCTCTGTATCTCTAGCTGTCTGACCAATTTCTTGTTGTTTGTAAAAAGATCCTGTTTTCACATGTTGCAGAGATGAGTTATTTGTATTAATATGCAATATATTCTATTAGACTATGCACATGAACAGGGCTATTTGTCACATCTGTGAATGTATATTTTTATGCATGTGTGTATACGTATGTATGTATAAGCTTGTTACACTATACAATGGCCAGTCTGCCAATAAATGTGATTTTCATGAAAAAAATAGTTTATTTTTTTTAATATAAAATATAAAAGGCAGCACACAAAGAAATGACAAACCATTATTTTGTCAAAAAGCATAAAATGTATAAATAAAAGTATAAGTAATTTTTTTATTTTTCTCATTTCATTCTTGAAAACTTTTTTCAAACACCCTTCCTCTTGCAGGAAATGTGGTGCAATTTCTGAATCCACTCTCAGCTGCACCCTCAGGGGTCTTTCCCCTCAGATGATGTTTTCTTACTCCTGCAAACAATGGGCGCTGGGGAAAAAAATGCTGCTTGCATGACAATAATGTGATGCTGTTCCTAATGATCCTGGTGTTAAGACGCTCTGCACTGTTCTGTCATCTATCATACATATTGTTTCCAGGGCATCATGAGTGTGGAAAAGAAGACGGCACGAGAGCCATGCTGCTCCAAATTAAAGGTAATTTTGACTTATCTTCTCCTGCTTTTCAGTTTCTTGTTTACATTGGCCCATTATGGTCAAAGACATGAATGTGATAACAGCTCATTTAATCCCATCACTATGCAATTACTTTCTATTGACTTTCTCTGCACAGTTTCAGATCATCTTCTGAGATTTTGTTTGTATAATGGCCTCAAAAATAATGTAGACATTTAAGTCTCAGACAAATTCCATTGCATTTTAAATATTAAACCAACTGGCAAAAATAAAATAAAATAGTATAAGCACAATTTTCGAGTAAAATATATTTAAAAAAAAAACATTAAACTATAAATTTGGTCAGTATATAGATATTGACAAAACATATTTGGACAATTTCTGGTTGTTCATAGTTACTGCAATTAACTACCTGTTCTTATTCTGTACACCTCTTTAATTATATTAACGATAAATTATGCATAATTACATGCAAGTAACCCTAAGCCAAATCCTAATCCCAACCCTAACCATATAGTAAGTACATGTATTTTGTATTATGTATTTTGGTTAAAAGCGTCTGCTAAATGACTAAATGTAAATGTATGTAGTTGATTAATATTACGCAGTACTTGAATAATTACACTGTAATAACAACACCTTAAAATAAAGTGTAACCAAATTATTCAGTCATTTACTTGCCTTCATGTAATTACAAGCTAACAAATAGAATAGAATAGAATTGTAACAGATCGGCCAGGCTCCACCACCACCCAATCACAACGATCCCTCTCACCTGAGTTCTGAGCACCTGCACCTGTCACCAATCAAGCACCTCATTACCAGCCTGCATAAAAGCACACACCTCAGACACCCTCACTGTCCGGTCTCGTATACACGCAGAGGACTCAATGACTTTGCTACTGATTTCCTTTGAATACTTCTTGCATTACTTACCTCCTGTGTTCCTCCTAGTGTCTCCTCGTCTCCAAGTGTCTCCTGTATCTCCTAGTTCCCGGATCGCTGAGGTGTGTGCTTCCCCAGGATACCTTCCAGCCTCAATCAAGCCAAAGACTCGGATTACTCCACTCTCCATATCCTCTGCACTCTCTCACGGACCTTTCCCTCACCATCACTTCCTCCAGACTCGACACCAGTACTCACTGTGACCTAATAAACTGTTTTGTATATAACTAACCTGTTGTGTCAGACCTCTTCCGTAACAGAAGACCAGACCAACACCGACGGCACAGATGAGTCACCCCGATCCATTCCAGGAGCTCGTAGACTCACTACGACGAGTGCTACGCAATCCACCGGCACCGCCGCCATCACCACCCATCACCTCATCCATCCCAACCAGCACTTCTTCGCCTACCGTTCATCGCTAGTCCCATGACTCAACCGGCGCCCTACTCTGGTTCGGCGGAGGAGTGCAACGGATTTCTCCTCCAGTGCAATCTCACATTTAAGATGCAACCGCACTCATATCCCACCGACACCTCTAAAATTACTTTTATTATCTCCCTGCTAACAGGACCTGCACTGCAATGGGTGGAAACGATCTGGGCTCAGCCCAGCCCCGTCATTCAAGACCTGCAGAACTTCCTGGGGCATTTTCGCGAGGTGTTCGGAAGGACAGACGGAGATGCCGCTGTGGGAGAGCAACTCTATCACTTACAACAGGGGACCATGTCAATTGCCGAATACTCGCTGAAGTTTAGAACTCTTGCTGTGGCAAGTGGATGGAATGAGAGAGCACTACTGACCACCTACAGACAGGGGCTGGAACCCCAGCTTCGGTTACAGTTCGCTGCCTATGATGATTTGTTTAGGTTGAAAAAGTTCATGCAATTGTCCATCCGATGCTCGAGCCGCATGCAGTCCTGTCTAGCAGCCATACCCGTCCATGCCTCAACCGCCTGCCTCCGCCGACCAGAGCCCAGTTATCCTCCAGAACCAGCACCAGAACCCATGATCGTGGAAAAGCAACGATTATCTTCCGCTGAGAGGCTACCAAGTCCAGTCGATAACTGGAACACCACTATGCCGTAGACATGTTCGCTATCGCGTGGGACCCATCACTCTTCGTCTGTGCCTCCTTCACTCAAAGGACATTCATCTTCTGGTTCTGGAGGGGTCTACTGCGGACATCATCTTAGTGGTTGGTAAAGCACAATCCCATTCTGTCCCGGAAGATGGGAGAAGTCCTGAAGTGTCCTGAAGTGGGGCAAGGATTGCTTCCCAGACTGCTTCCCCGGGGACTCCATCTCCTCCGAAGAACCCAGAGGCCCTTTCCGTGAACTCCACCTCCATTGAGAGTCCCATCAAGAAGCAATCCTTAGAAATTCCAGCCTGCTATGCCCCCTTCAGAGACGTGTTTTGCCCCAAACAAGCCTCCCGCTTACCACCACATCGGTCATGGGACTGCGCCATCGATCTCATTCCGAGTGAGCCAGTGCCTCGTGGAAAGGTCTATTCCCTATCGCTCCCTGAGCAGAAGGCCATGGAGGAATACATCAAGGAGGCGCTGGGTCAAGGTTACATCCGTCCATCTAACTCCCCTGCTGCATCAAGCTTCTTCTTTGTGGCCAAGAAGGACGGAGGCTTGAGGCCCTGTATCGATTACCGAGCATTAAACAACATCACAGTCAAGTTCTGATATCCTCTTCCCCTCGTACCAAGTGGCCTTGAGCATCTCCGTGGGGCTACCATCTTCACTAAGCTGGACCTCTGCAGTGCTTATAACCTCATCTGGATACGTGAGGGGGATGAATGGAAGACTGCCTTTGTGACCCCTACTGGCCACTACGAGTATCTGGTCATGCCCTATGGACTTGCCAATGCCCCCTCCGTATTCCAGGACTTCATGCACAAGGTGCTCCGGGAGTTTCTCCATCGGTTCGTCATTGTATATATAGATGACATCCTCATCTACTCCCGGAGCCAGGCCGAACATCGCCAGCACGTTGCGGAGGCCTCCAGCGCCTGAGAGAGCACCACCTATTCCTCAAGGCTGAAAAGTGCACCTTCGACCAATCCACAGTGCAATTTCTGGGGTATAACATTGACCATACCGGTATCCAGATGGACGAGGGGAAGGTGGAAGCTATAACCTCCTGGCCAGAACCCACCACGATTAAAGAGCTCCAACGATTCCTGGGATTTGCCAATTTTTACCGTCGCTTCATTCTTGGCTACAGCAAGATCACCACCCCCCTCACCAACTTACTCCGAGGGAAACCCAAGTCTCTGTCCTGGACTCCCGAGGACTTAGAAGCTTTCTCCTCCCTCAAGAGAGCCTTCACTAGCGCCCCACTCCTAGTCCATCCAGATTCCGATCTCCCATTCGTCGTGGAAGTTGACGCCTCCACTACAGGAGTGGGGGCAGTGCTATCGCAGCAGCAGGGGAACCCAGCCAGACTCCACCCATGTGCCTTCTTCTCACGGAAGCTCAGCCCAGCGAAAATTAACTATGACATCGGCAACAGAGAACTCCTTGCCATCAAGCTGGCTCTAGAAGAGTGGAGGTATTGGCTGGAGGGGGCAGCCCATCCATTTACCATACTGACCGTCCACAAGAACCTCCAATACCTTCGTGAGGCAAAGCGTTTAAACCCCCGCCAGGCCCGATGGGCATTATTCTTTACCAGGTTTAATTTTACCATTACTTATCGCCCTGGTCCCAGAAACATCAAGGCAGACGCCTTGTCGCGTATTCACAGTCACATAGAAGGCCCCGAAGAACCGGAAAGCATCATCCCACCAAAAATGATCGTCAGTCCGATCGAATGGAATTCCCCTTCAGTGGCCTCCAACACAGCTCCTAACAATCCGCCGGGCTGTCCTCCAGGATGCCAGTACGTTCCACGTATCACTACTCAAACCTCACCATGACTTTGTCTCTCTCCCCACAGAGCCTGGCCAGACGGAGGAACCCCCTCTTCCCTTGATCCTGGATGAAGGCTCGGTCTACAAGGTGAAGGAAATTCTGCAGTCCCGGCGCCGTGGTGGTCAGCTGGAATACCTCGTGGACTGGGAAGGATATGGACCCGAGGAACTCTCATGGGAACCTAGGACCGATGTACTGGACCCCGCCTTAATGTCAGAATTCCATGCTGCCCATCCTGATCAGCCGGCACCTCGGGGCAGAGGTAGACCACCACGACGTCTGGGTTTTCGGCCCTCAGGAGCGGGCCGTGGAGGGGGGAGGACTGTAACAGATCGGCCAGGCTCTGCCACCACCCAATCACAACGATCCCTCTCACCTGAGTTCTGAGCACCTGCACCTGTCACCAATCAAGCACCTCATTACCAGCCTGCATAAAAGCACACACATCAGACACCCTCACTGTCCGGTCTTGTATACACATAGAGGACTCAATGACTTTGCTACTGATTTCCTTTGAATACTTCTTGCATTACTTACCTCCTGTGTTCCTCCTAGTGTCTCCAAGTGTCTCTTGTATCTCCTAGTTCCCGGATCGCTGAGGTGTGTGCTTCCCCCGGATACCTTCCAGCCTCAATCAAGCCAAATACTCGGATTACTCCACTTTCCATATCCTCTGCACTCTTTCACGGACCTTTCCCTCACCATCACTTCCTCCGGACTCGACACCAGTACTCACTGTGACCTAATAAACTGTTTTGTATATAACTAACCTGTTGTGTCAGACCTCTTCCATAACAATAGAATAGAATAGAAAGGTCATTAAAAGACAACCTGTGAGTGATTGTCAGTGGTTCCACAAAACGATACAAAAAGTACTTCAGTCTGATTCAGCAAAATAGCTAAAACTAGCATAAGATGGTCTTAGCTGGTAATACTGGTTCACTGGTTTGTTGGCTTGTTTTATTGGGCACTTTTCAGCTGGTTAGATGAAGATCACCTTGGTCAGTCTGGAAAGACCAACCTACAGTAGCTAAATCCATCTTAAACTATCTCTAATGTGATAACTAATTCAAGCATAAATCACTCAGATGGGACCACCAAAATTATCTCAACATCATAATGGCAATTCTTCATTTCTGCAGAAACTAAAACTAAAAATCTAATTTGTTAGTGTATAAACTAAAGTGGGTTTTTAGTTACATGAATTGTTATCTCTCTGTGTTATTGTAATCTCTCTCTCTCTCTCTCTCTCTCTCCTTCAGATGTTTTTGGCTGCCATGTGTTTTGTTTACTTTGCCAAAGCTTTTCAGGGCAGCTACATGAAGAGCTCTATCATGCAGATTGAGAGACGTTTTGACATTCCCAGCTCACTGATTGGATTTATTGATGGAAGTTTTGAAATTGGTGAGAATAATAATAAAAAAAATACATATGTTGGGTCTAAATGGAGCAGAAATCTTCATATACCCACACACTCTAATGGCATTTATTTTAATGGCGATTTTAATTATTGTACACTTTGATGAATTGGTGGCTGATTCATATGATCTCATTAATGTGTTTCCATACAATCTTCTTATGCCCCACTGACAATTAGGTTTAGGGGTGGACCTTCAAGGGGCTTTTCCCCCTAAAAATTTTACCTTTCCATCTGAATTACATTGTACGAATTTACTCAAAATTTATTTTGCATATACTGTATTTTGTCCTCAAAAAGTATATGGACACTTACATCACATGTATAAATATATACTGCAAATACCATTGCGGATGGTAGATGGCTTCAAGAAATATCATCTTTTTTGGTGACTTTGTGACATTCTTAATCATAATATAAATAAGTTGCTGTTACACAGTTCAAACACTGTGCAACAGTAACACTGTTAAAAAAAATAGTTCTGTCATGACAACTCTCGGAGGGATTGGCATGGTAATATACATGACAATGTTAATGTATTTGGTCTTGGCGGAATAGATCTGAGATTCTGCTGCTGCGGCAGTGCAAGTACCGAGACTTGCTACTGCCAATACATCCACAACATGCTACTGTGAGCATGTAAGAAATACTGCTGCTGCACATATAACATATATGAAATAACCCCCATAGCATACATTAATCACCTCGTAGCAGACCTATACAGGTGGAGCTGGTGTGGAGGGTTTCTGAAGTAAGTGCGCTGCTACTGCTACAGCAAACACCAAGTACTTGAATGTTGAGCAGTGAGCTCATTCTGCTGCTGCGGCAGTGCAAGTACCGAGACTTGCTACTGCCAATACATCCACAACATGCTACTGTGAGCATGTAAGAAATACTGCTGCTGCACATATAACATATATGAAATAACCCCCATAGCATACATTAATCACCTCGTAGCAGACCTATACAGGTGGAGCTGGGGAATGTGGAGGGTTTCTGAAGTGCGCTGCTACTGCTACAGCAAACACTAGCCAAGTACTTGAATGTTGAGCAGTGAGCTCATTGGCTACCGATACAGGAGAGAACCAATCAGCTGTGACGTGATAATGATGTCATTATGTCATATTGAGTTAGATCTATCGGGCTGCACCATCTAGAGTTTCATGCCAGAACTTTGTATTTGTAAAATGGATTTTAAGTGCAGCAATTTGTGTTTTACTAATAGAAATCATGAACATAACAACCAAAAACATTTGCAACGAGACCTGAAAATTAACAGAAAGAAATACAGAGCTTAAATACACTGAAACAAATCAATCAACACTGATTAGTGTCTGCACCTCTCATTGAGTAAGATGAGTGCAGGGCAGGCAAAAGGGATGACCACAGGGTCAAAGGCAAAACAGACACCAGGAAGAGCCAGAGAGGAATTAGCTGTATAGATCTCTGATTCTCTGAAATAAACAGAGAAAATACAAAGTTCAACTAAAGCAAACGCAAAACACAAATGAGTCATAGAAGTTATGCTATCTAATGCAGTGACATTTTTTTTTCAGTGTGGCTCAAGTGAATAATTTTTAGGACCAATGTATTCAAAATGTCTTTAAGTATGTTCTGTACTGCAGGAAATTATGAGTACATTTGCAGTTTATTTCTTCTTTATGGTTAAAATTGGTGGTGATGTTAATAGGATACCAATTTTTGTTATTTTCAGGTAATCTGTTTGTAATAGCTTTTGTGAGTTACTTTGGTGCTAAGCTTCATAGACCACGACTCATAGGAGCTGGATGTTTAATTATGGCCATGGGATCCTTCATAACTGCGGCACCACATTTCTTCCAAGGACTGTAAGTTTAACTGGTCAACTACTCTTTAAACCACTTTAGTTACCACATTTGTGTTGACAAGGATACATTTCTGATTCAAATGATAAGACAAATTGTGTAACAATGTGTTAATGCGTTTTCCACAGGTACAAATACGAAACAACAATTTCCCATTTCTCTGCCTCTAATGGTACAGAGAATATTCTACCATGCTTAACCAATGGGAGTCTTGCACAAGATGAAATTCCCACTGTGGAAATTCAAGCAGGTAAGTTGTTTAACCCTGAGAATGACCTCAGATAAGATATTAAACCATATATAGCGATACTGCAACCAATGTATCACAATAATAAACGTATGGGCCTTGATCTAGTAGAGAAGACCAATTGCCTCTCCAAAAATTAAGTTTTGGTATATTTATGGTAGGAGATTTACAAAATATCTTAATGGAACATGATATTTATTTAATATCCTAATGACTTTTGGCATTACAAGAAAAATCTATAATTTTGATCATTACAATGTATTGTTGGCTTTTGCAACAAATATACCTTTGTGACTTAAGACTGGCTTTGTGGTCCAGGGTCACATATGATTGTGCTACCCACAATCCCCTGGAACACTGATCTGTCACTCTAGTTTGCTTATACCTAGCCTTTCTTTTCTGAACTTTGAACTTTGGAAGCCTAATGTATTGGGTTTGAATGCTTTTTAGACTTTATTCTTTCATTGAGATGCTGATATTGGAGTGTCTTACAGAGTTGCATTGTTAATTTGTTTTTGTAGATTGTGAGAAAGTAGCCAGTTCTTCCTTGTGGCTCTATGTGTTTCTCGGGAACATGCTTCGTGGGGTAGGAGAGACACCCGTCATGCCTCTTGGGTTGTCTTATCTGGATGATTTTTCGAGGGCGGAAAACACTGCTCTTTACATGGGTATGATTGATTACCCATTTCAATCCAATTAAATAATTCTGGCATACATTCAAGCCTTATTAACATACTGCTTTACACTTCACCCCCATTATATGTCAAAACGTACCAATTTCACTATACCACTTTAATTTGAAATGTGTATTTTACTTATTGATCATAAAAAACACATATTAACAGATAACATTATATTAAAAAAGTAAAGGGCCACTTACATTTACTTAAAGAGTGTACACTTTCATGAGAGTTTCTTACCTTGAAGTGCACTTATAAGTAATAAGGTCAAATTAAAAGTATACTTTGTAATAAGGTACAATTAAAAGTTCCACTTAAGGAACTCGAGCTGCGTCGAGAATCGCTTTGGGAACTCCCCTGCATGACCGCGTTCTGAAGCACGTGTAAAATCATCCCAATGGAGCAGCGAGATGTCACGTGAGCACCAGGAAGTATAAAAGCGCATCCGGCAGAGCACAAGTTAGCTTCTGCTTTTCAGTAGCGCTCTGTGTATGTGTCAGTCCTATTTATTGTTGCCTGTCAGCCACAAGCATATCATGTCAAAAGCAAAGTCTAAGTCTATGGTGAGCGAACGGCATTACAGACGTTGCGTTCCTCCCTGCCCACAATATCTGGTGGCGGGGGATACACACAATCTGTGTGTTGTTTGTTTAGGAGCGGATCGGAGCATGCACGGTCAGCTCTCGAGGGAGCTGATTGTCATGACAGTGAGTTGCTCTCGCCTGGCCGTGTTTGATGAGAGCGGCCAGGCTCGCGATCCTGTTGGCAGCGGTCCCGCTGTTGCCGAGGTGCAGCGTAGACTGTTGTCATGGGGATCGCAAGTGGATCTAGCGGAGGGATCCGAGACGGGCTGGTCCTTTTCTCGGTCCTCACCCGCTAGATCCACGGCTCCATCTCAGGGATCGGAAGCCCGTGCTGCGGTCTCTTCCCTCCAAAGAGAGAGCCAGGCACTTCATCTATCTTCCTCCGAGGAGGTGGATGTGATGAGTATCGAGACAGAGGAGACTGTGGACTCGCCACCACAGTTCCTTGCATATGAGGAGCTCGTGGAGGTTGTGACTGATGCTGTAGCCAAATTAAATATCGATTGGCCAGCCCGAGAAACAGGACGCTCATCCTAAAATTAAATTAGATGAGCGTTTCCTGAGAGCTAGATCACAGCCTTCACGATGGGGCCTTCCGTTTTTCCCTGATCTCCATGCCGAGGTGTCAAGATCGCGGGCGAAACCGTGTTCATTCCGTATCTACAGCCCCACAGTCTCAAATTATTCCAACATCGTGGGGCTGAATGAGAAGGGATATGGGACGATGCCAATGGTGGAGCAGACGCCTGCGAGCTATCTCTCCCCATCTTCAGCATCATACCTGAAGGCCCCGAAGCTTCCAACCAGGCCCGTTAGGCTGACATCTAGTCTGGTTGGGAAAGCATACCAGGCTGACCTGCTCAGGGACCTGGATGACAGGGAGGAGGAGGAGTCCGATGTGGTAGCCGAACTGTGTCGGGCCACATATTTGTCCCTCCGAGCCACCAAAGAAACGGCCAGAGCCATCGTCCGTGCAATGGCAGCAATTGTGGCCACGGAGCGGCATCTGTGGTTGAATCTGTCCGATATGCAAGATAAGACAGATTCTTCCTCCTGGACGCCCCGCTCTCTCCCCCTCTGGCCTTTTCGGCAACGCAGTCAACACTGTCGTCGAGAGGTTTCAGGAGGTGAGGAAGCAAGCGGAGGCGTTTCAACGTTTCCTCCCTCGTCACTCCCAGGCCCATGGGGCTGGTGAGCGGGAGTAGGATACCACCTCAGGTGAAAGGATATCCAGGAAAGGATAACACCTCAGTATACGGTGCCCGATCCTCCTCAGTGCCCTCACGGAGATTCACTGATACCCCTGCCACCCTCGGTGCTTCAGGGCTCAGTGAGCTCCGACGAGCGAAATGCCCAGCTGCCGCCCGGTGACGGTACGGCACGGGAGAGCTCGTCCACTGAAGTGAGGGTGCTACAGCAGTCAGGTCGGTCGTTCCCTGCCTGTCATCCGCTTCAGGGCACCGAACTGGCTCCTCTAATAACACCAGAAGACTGCCTCGAGAGGCTGGTTCCCTTAGTAGATTTTTTGGCAGTGTGGAAACTTCTACCAAACGTCTCAAAATGGGTCCTGCAGATTGTAGAGAAAGGTTACAGAATCCAGTTCGGTTCTCGTCTGCCTCGTTTCAACGGGGTCATTCCCACACTAGTGGGCCCCAAGCCGGCTCTGGTAAATGGAACAAGAAGTAGATACTCTCTTGAGGAAGTGGGCCATAGAATGTGTTCCACCTCACGAGAGAGCGTACGGGTTCTACAGCCGTTACTTCATCATTCCGAAGAAGGATGGGGGGTTGCATCCGATTTTAGATCTCCGTCTTCTGAACCGCGCTATCAAACAGCTTCGGTTCAAAATGCTCACTATCAAGCAGATAGTATCTCAAATCCAGACCACGATGCAGGCACATTTGTCTCCTGCTCGTATCGAGTCAATCCTCACGACAGTCAAGAGAGTAAGAGAAGGCCAGTCACTCACTGTCAAACCATTTCAAAGGCAGTTGGGTCTGATGGCAGCGGCGTCCAACGTGATACCTTTTGGCCTGCTGTACATGAGACCCTTGCAGTGGTGGCTCAGGACCAAGGGATTTTCCCCGAGGGGGAATCCGCTTTGCATGATCAAGGTCACGTGGCAATGCTTACGTGGCTTGGACATGTGGAAGAAACATTGGTTCCTGGTTCAAAGCCTGATGTTAGGGGCTCCTTGCTGTCGTGTAACACTAATGACAGATGCCTCTCGCACAGGCTTGGGGGCGGTCATCAGTGGCCACTCTGCCCAGGGTCTGTGGGAAGGCCATCATCTCACTTGGCACATCAACTGCCTGGAGATGCTGGCCGGGTTTCGAGCTCTGCCCTATGGGCACATCATGTGCTTGTCCGCACAGACAACACATCAGTGGTTTCCTGCATCAATCGGCAGGGGGGTCTGACTACCCCTTGTACAAGCTAGCGCGCCAGATCCTTCTGTGGGCTCAGGGGAAGCTCCTCTCACAAAGAGCAGTCTACATCCCCGGGTATCTCAATCAGGGGGCAGATATCCTGTCGAGACAGGGGCTGAGGACCGGGGGATGGAGACTCCACCCCGAGGTGGTGGAGCTCCTCTGGAGGGAATTTGGCCAGGCGGAAGTGGATCTATTTGCGTCGCAGGAAATGACACACTGTCCGCTCTGGTTCTCCCTCATGTATCCAGCTCCACTGGGGCTGGATGCCATGGTGCAGACGTGGCCGAGGCTTCCCCCCGATCGCTCTGCTCCCGGGAGTTCTGGAGAG